TTGTATAGCGAGCATATCAAAACCCAAAGAGAAACCTGCAAGTTTCATGCAGGAACTACTAGTATGGCTGTGCTAAGGTGTCAGTTTTGTGTTAGAATCATCTGTTGTAATGAAAATGTGATGATGATGCAATTCCAGAGCTTTTATAATTGTAAACCTATAGGGTTTAGCAGAGACATATTGTGTGAACATTTTAAACTTAGACAATATTAATAACATAATCATTTTAAGTTTTTAGCAGTTAAAGTAAAATGAGATAAAGGTTTATTAAATCAGAATGGATATTATTAGTGACGCAGATTCGGTGACTTTATAATTGGAAAAAGGACTTTAATTTTGTAAACAATTATTATCTTGTCAAAACAAATTGGATTTTGGTGTTGTTCAAATGCTCTATAATTTGTTAGATCATTTTGTAATGAAATTGATCCGAATAGACCAATCAAGCCCATCGATAGTAAGTAATGAAATTTGAACGGAAATACAATGGTATTATTAAGAGTTTTGACTAAGAGCAATAAAATTGGGAACTTTGAAGTAAATAAGTAAAAGAGCTTAAGGCTAGAACTCCTGTGGTGCAGAGATGGGGACTGAGTCCATAAATATTAGTAATGAGTGTTTACCTGTATTCGAGGGTGGTGCCATGTTGGGGTTCATAGGTCAACGGACAGACCTACGGACAAAGCGTAGGTGGTTGGTGATGGTGAATTAGCCAATGAAATGTATTTTTATATCCGGGATCATGGATACCCACTGAGCACAAAATACCCTGTTTTAGTCAGAAAAGAGTATTCCCGGTCTTATTCTGAAATTACCAACTCTCTCTTATTCTATTTTTGGGAATCATTCTTTTGGACTTTTGTTTATTTATTTATTTGGAGTTCGGTCTTAAACTCTTTATATTTTGGACGGACCCTTTGGACAGTTATATAAAAAGTGTATTGGTCTTTTCTGATCATATTTCAGGAACGAATATTTCTAAAACTATACGATCACGGAAAAATTGTAAATTGGAATTATTTAATAAACTCTTGAAATCGACAAAAGAGTCGTCATTGGCTTACAACGCTACAAGTCAATTTGGTGCCGTGACCAGGATTTGCGAAGTACTGTAAACGTTTGAGAGCGAGACTGAAAAAAAACTGTTAATTGAATTTATGCTCGGAACCACGAATACTGAAATTCTTCATGGTCATATTGATACCAATGACCAAGGCAATGCAAAGTATAACTAAAATGTCAAACGCGGAGGGAAAATGTGGCAAGGTAGGACGTAACTTTCTGACCCAGAAGTATCTGTAGCCTGACCAAGTTTTGATTTTTTTTAATTGATTTTTCGGAAATACTTTTGGCTTATTGTTTGGGTTTGTTTTAAAGGATATTTATGACTTATTTGGCAACAGTTTTGAAAATGAAGGAAATATCTAAAATTCTATTTTATTTGAAGAAAAAGTTTTATCATATAGTGTTGATTCCTTGTTAAAAAGAATAAAAAGTAAATGATATTGGAAAATTAAAAAAAAATCATCTTAATAGTGAATTTCTACACAAGGAATGCATTTAATAATTTTGTACATATGCAGTGATGGAAGTTGACGGTGTAAATCTTAAATGTAACGACCACAAGTTAAAAAGAGGCTTCTGTAATAATTGTATGAAACCACCTGTAATGCCTAGGAAACAGGTAAAAGTAACAAATAAAGAGTGTTCGCAAAGTATAGATCTTAGTTATAAACCTAAGGTAAAACCTAGAAAATCCCGGGAAAATAGGGTGTACAGTAAAAACGTACTAGTAGAAAATGATAATGTTACCGAACAATTTCTCAAGATAATGGGGAAATTACTTCAAGTATAAGTTTATTTTGATGAGGGAACAAACTGTGCTAAGAGTTGACATTTCCACAACTTTAATTGATATATATATAAGAACAACATCAAAAATTTGTTAAAGTGGCTCCGGAAAATTCAGATAAAAGTTATATATGTTGTAAGGCCCTGCAAGTTGATACGGGTGGTTAAGGGAGTGAAAAAAGTAAATCTGTCTATTAAAGAAATATTTAAACATATGGGATAGGATTTGCAATCAGTTTTAGACCTAAGCTTATACAATGATTGAAACAATGAATAATGCATAAGATAATTGTTGTATTATTATACAATAGGAGTCTATAAAATAAAGAAAAAAAGGTACTTAATATATAAATCTATTATTTTTGCATTAGCTATGTGCACTTTATGAAAGAAATGAAATTGGTATGAAATGCACACTACCGTTTTTCAATGTATATATTTCGTGCATCTTCAACAGCTTTCTGTAAATATTCAAAAACACTCTGGGAAAATGTTCAACTTCTTTATAAAAATAATAATCGTTAAAAAAAAAAAATTTGAATTACTTGTGTTATTTATACAAGTTACCTTACACATCCTTACTGGAAGTTTATCATCATGACTTTTTGTATCATATAAGCACCGTTAAGTAATATAATAAATGACTTTTTGGAATTATATAATTCCATAACTAAAAATTACGAGAAACAATTTAATTATCATACAGCGTTATATGTTAAATCAAATTAAAATGCTCTGAGACTTGGTGTCATTTAACTTTGGGAGCAATACAATTCATGGGTCTTTATTAGGGATAGTACCTTCGAACTATTTTCATGAATGATGTTTATTATTTCATTTAAAAAGGAATTCACTTGGAAAAAAATTTAATTTATAGGAATATTTTAACAATATTTAGAAGATATCTAGAAATTACCTATTCAAAATTTTCAAACAACTAATTGTCTTTCAATAATGTATTGTTGAGTCTTTGCCTACAGAAAAAAAAGTTTTGCTTTCATTTTTCTTTTGATTTGTTTTTGTTTATTCTTAATCTGAATTAAAAAAAAAAATATATAAGTGGTCATCTTAGATATTTGGTAGAGAGAGTTCTTTGTCTAAACCACCTGTTGAGATTAACCCAGGAGGCACAAATACAGTGGATGATGAAAAGGGTACTGACATGGAAGTACTGATGGATGAAACTATACGTAAATTAAATAATATCAGTGAGATAATTATACCAAAAGGATGAGACCTTAATGGGAGTCAAGAATAAACCCAGGAGCGCGGGATACATACATTGATGGCTTCTAATTTGAAGGGCGATACTACCGCCTGGAGTGGTGATAATTGCACTCCGTCATCTACTTAATCACAAGGACTGTATCAGCTGAATAACCTTGAAGAGTAACCGATAACTTATGTTACTTATATTAGTGTGAATATAACTAAATTTTGATCTATACCTAAGTGTGGAATGAGAACATTGATTCCAAAGCGAACAATTTTAGTGAGGAGTAGTGAACAGTAGTACAACCATATATCCATGAAGAGTTGTTAGGAACACATATAATGGACACATATAATGGACCTATATAATCAATGTAACCGTATATGTTGGACTTTATTTCGGGAACACGAAGAAGACGTCCGCGAACATCCTATGCCGTGCGACTACCGTATGCAATTAACAATAAAGACATCTTGACTATTATCTTCGAAGACTGTGGATTTTGTTTAATAAAAAGTGAACAGTGCCGAGGGATTACTTCTTACCTTGTGAACGAAATAAACTGTGACTAAGTTTAAAATTATGTTCCGGGTCTAGCGGAGAAATTTCCACTGGCCAGGGAAATTTCTTAGTGTGTGGGGACGAATGTAAACCTATAGGGTTTAGCAGAGACATATTGGGTGAACATTTTAAACTTAGACAATATTAATAACATAATCATTTTAAGTTTTTAGCAGTTAAAGTAAAATGAGATAAAGGTTTATTAAATCAGAATGGATATTATTAGTGACGCAGATTCGGTGACTTTATAATTGGAAAAAGGACTTTAATTTTGTAAACAATTATTATCTTGTCAAAACAAATTGGATTTTGGTGTTGTTCAAATGCACTATCATTTGTTAGATCATTTTGTAATGAAATTGATCCGAATAGACCAATCAAGCCCATCGATAGTAAGTAATAAAATTTGAACGGAAATACAATGGTATTATTAAGAGTTTTGACTAAGAGCAATAAAATTGGGAACTTTGAAGTAAATAAGTAAAAGAGCTTAAGGCTAGAACTCCTGTGGTGCAGAGATGGGGACTGAGTCCATAAATATTAGTAATGAGTGTTTACCTGTATTCGAGGGTGGTGCCATGTTGGGGTTCATAGGTCAACGGACAGACCTACGGACAAAGCGTAGGTGGTTGGTGATGGTGAATTAGCCAATGAAATGTATTTTTATATCCGGGATCATGGATACCCACTGAGCACAAAATACCCTGTTTTAGTCAGAAAAGAGTATTCCCGGTCTTATTCTGAAATTACCAACTCTCTCTTATTCTATTTTTGGGAATCATTCTTTTGGACTTTTGTTTATTTATTTATTTGGAGTTCGGTCTTAAACTCTTTATATTTTGGACGGACCCTTTGGACAGTTATATAAAAAGTGTATTGGTCTTTTCTGATCATATTTCAGGAACGAATATTTCTAAAACTATACGATCACGGAAAAATTGTAAATTGGAATTATTTAATAAACTCTTGAAATCGACAAAAGAGTCGTCATTGGCTTACATAATGATTAAACAACAAACAAAACATGCATCTTATTTACATGCACATGCACAGTTGGATAAATATTGTCATTTCAAAAAGGACAGACATCTCTGGTTTTTTTTTTTTTTAAATACAAAGGATCTCCCACATAGAGTTTGTGTACAAACCTTTCTAAATAATTCATGCAAGTTCAATGTGTAGCATTTCATTTTAACCATGCAGTGTTTTTCATGCAAACAGCTAAATGTGATACATGCATTTTGCATGACTTGGGTAGTAGCATGATTCAGGAACAAGATATATATCTGCTAGGTGACAAAAAGAATAAAAATTCTTTGACAAATACATGTAAGTAATGATTTTGGCACTAAGAAATTCATAAAAGGGAGATAACCTGTTGATATCCTTGGTCGTCTCTGAAGGAACTCTTAAGGTAAAGGGACTGTCATGCTTGGCTGTTTTTGGCTTGTAGTCCCTGGAATAATTCATTATAAAATAAATGTAAGAAAATAGCTTTTTCAGAAATACTATATAATTATGTAATGTAAATATTCAAGAGTTTTAAAAAATATTTCAAAATTTCTACAAGCCTTAGGAAAAGACATTGAAATTCACCCCAGACACATAATCAAATAAATGTAAAAATTGTTATGAAAGCATTTTTTATTTTTGGTAAATTGAAACTTTTAATATTATAAAAATAAAATATTTCACACTTAATACATGCATAAACACTTTGCATAACATAATCAAATGCATTAGAACTTTTCGAGTAATGTTTCAACACAATGATCAGTTGTTACAATATGAGCAACATTTTTAAAAAAAAAAAAAAAAAAATAATGAATTATTTGAGTGTCTCAGTAATGAAGCCTTTTATACCTGACCGAGTGTGACATGGTATAAGGGAAGAGTTCATGGATGGAGGTAAATTCACTGGTCCTGTAGTAGTCATAGTAACTATCTACACATTCCTCACCAGGCGCCACGGCAACAATGGTGCAGTCTGTCGGCTTCTTCTCTGAAATGAACAAAACTTGTGTGAGCTTCCAGCAGAAAAAAAAGTTGAAGTATAATTCAGCATTTTATTTCATAAATGAATACAAATGTTTAGGCAAATTTCAGTATACCCCTACCTTCCTCATAAGGTAAAGGTAAAGATCTGTAAACTAGCACCTCCCACCACTGAGTGAAACTAAAAAAGTTTTAAAAAAATTATTACAGTTGAAGTTCTGTATCACTAACACTAATATCTGGAAGACCATGGATATGTCAACTTGAAAGTGATTTTGCAGTTCCAACCATTTTTTCTTTAAGAGTTACTTATGAGACCTTTTGAATGATATTGGTTTCAGAGAAATAGTCGAGATTTAGTGAAGTTATCAAAATGTTAAAATGTTAACTTTCTTTTCGGACACCTTGTACTTATGAACTAATACACTGCAGTGCTCAAGTAAAATGAAAAATAAAAATAATTTAGGCCAAAATAAAAAATACCTTTGTTTCCCCTAACGCGACCGACCCAACTAAAACGTGCCGACTGAAAAGATTTTTTTAAATAAGATGATTCAAATTTTTTTTTATTGTCAACCAAGTTTTATAAAATACAAATTCATCAAAATCAGTTTTTATCAGAACAACCGACATTGTTCTGTTGTGATTTTCAAGCATTTGATGGAGACAAAATAGCGCCCAGATGTGATTACAGAGAAGTTCTTCATAAAACAACGGCGATGTCTCAGTCTGATGCCTTTTGCTAACTAGAATTCTTCACTCTTGAAACAATTTGATAATAAAATTTACAATGACTAATTAAGAGTTTTGGGGGTGTCTTGGTGTCTCCATGTGAGTGAATAAATTTTCGAAAGGGACGGTAAACAACGAACAAACGAATCTATATGTTGAATTTCAGGTACGTAATACATGGAAAGGCCAGCCTCATGAGCAGATGAGGGGCCCACCTAGTGAACACATCATTCAATTTCACTGCATTTTATTTAATTTGAGTCTTGATCTGATAAACAATTCATCTATGTTCCTATGTTAACTTTATGCCATTATGAAATCATAGGAGTTGGTAAATATTTTTGCATATTCATCCTGATAAATATAATTCAGTTGTACATTTTCATGCCTTTATTTAGTGGTTAAACTTGGTGACTATGACATTGTTTTATATAGCATTTTTAAATACTCTTTCCAAATAGTTTTGAAATCATAATTCAACTTCCTGAGACGTCCAATGTCATTTTCTTTAATTAGGCCCTTGAAGATTGGTTGTTTCTTTGCTTTTAATCCCTTCGAGATTTGTTGGGACATTTGAACATTTCCCCATTGCTCCTTTAGATGTACTACGCACTTTTTTGCCATTAAGCAGAGGGATCTTTTTTGGGCCAGCATCTTCTGCGGCACTGGACAAAAGTTTTAATGGTCCCTTTTGAAGGACCGTTTCCAACGTATTTAAACCTGCGACTTAAAATTAGCCACTTATGTCTTAACTCTAAAGTAAAATGCTTTAGAACCGCTGCAAATCTCATGGCCCTCAAAAAGTACAATGACTGTCTATAAGCACTGGAGGGTGATTGAAGGTTTGAAAAAATATACTAAGATGTCCAGTCTTTGCGTATTTGAGAATTATATCTTTTTTTATTCGATTTATATAAATGTACTCTGGTGAGATATTTCACAAGTTCATATAAATTACAGTTGTGAATTAATTAATCATGAATTTTGCTTTTAAACAGCATATGTTTGATACTTAGCATTTTGTTCACAAATCACTTTCTTTTGTACTTTTCTTATTTATAAATATGTAATTTTCCATTAAATTTTAGAATGTATTTTCAAAGATGCTGTCAGAAAATAAAATTGTTTACCTACCTACCGACCCAACTTGAGAATTTAGGGTCGGGTTAGGGGAAACAAAGATATTTTTAATTCCGGCCTTATGAGAGACACTTTATTATGCCAGATATAGCTACCAGGTACCTATAACATAAATACTCCAGTACGGCCCTGACACCTTTATTGTGGAGGTAGAAGTCAGTAGGTAGCTCCCAGATGTTAGGTTTCCCCTCCTCTGGTGAGTACAGACCCAGGAATATATTGGTAGCTGTCTGCTTCTCCAGGTCTGTCAAACAGTAATTAGACTTTTAATTAATATTATAATTAACTAACTTTTAAAGTTAGTTTATCTCAAGCCATTAGACAGCCAACAGGGGTCAAATGCATGTCCAAGTATTTGTTTCGACTTGACAGTAATGTGATGTAAACCTGATGTGAACTTTGAACTTAACTTTCAAATTAACCTTAAATACAATTAGGATGAAATATAATCAATACCGATTCATTAATTTGAGCTTATTATAAGTTAAAGATAGAACAGAGAAATGTACGGCGGAACAAAAATAATTTGACTGTCATAAAAGTACAGATTAACAATCTACTTTGAATTTATTTTTAATTATTCATAATTATGTAATTATTATCAAATTTTCTTTTGAAGTATTAAGGATGTTTATTATAAAATCGTCATCTTTACTACTGTAAAATCTCATATTTTTGTGAGATCAAATTTTTGTGATTTGAGGAAAAACTCTTGGTTCCTGGAAATTGTTAAGTCCTTATGCAAAATGTAACATTTTACATTTTGTGGTGGACATAAATTCATGGATCTATTCATACATGTACCTCAAAAACAAAGAAAATTAAACCCCCATGAAAATTTGTGATTTCACAGTATTTTAAAAACACTTCCAATGCAAATTTTCACCTGAGAATGTGTTGCTGTAGTATCGTGAGAGGGTATGCATGATGTCCTTGGAGTGGGAGGTCCAGGGGGCTATTTTCCTGTAGCCCTCGATTCTGTGGACCAGCTGAGAACCCCCGTACTGCAGGGCTATAGTGTCACCATGAGCCTCGTACAGGTGCTCTAGCATTCTACAATCGAAATGATTAAAACAATGTGTTGTTTGATCAGAACAAGGACTAGCAGAAGGGAATCTAATACATGCAATAATAAAAATTACACACCTGCAGAATACTGTATACAGGGTTATTTTCGCCGTTTTGCACTTCACTTGCTTACAATTATCATAATACTCTTGTTCCGATTTAAATTCGCCCAGTCAAAGTTCTGTTTAAGAAATTACACTGACAGTGTGTTCTTTGAATTCGCCCAACCATAAAGAGGGCAAAGGGGGCGAAAATAAAAGGGGGCTAAGTTTTCCCTGTATACAGTAAACAAAGTCAGATGACCAGCTTGAACTGAAATGCACCCCTTTCAAAAAAAAAAACATTTTCATCGAATATGTTTAGCTCATGTACTATGGCATCATGTTTATGATGAGTTCAATATTTACCATTTCCCTGGCACAATGCATGATGGAGACAAAACACATATAACAAACAAAAACAATCTCTCAAGCATACAAATATGGACAATTCTACATTTCAAACCATCTATCAAAGCCCAGATACTTTTTTTCTGCCTTGAAAACCACATCTAAAATTCTCGATGAATGATCAACATGCATTTTAAATTATCTATTTTGTGACAAGCTTTCATTTGAATTCTAGCACAACCTAATTAGACTTACACATCTAGAGAATTGTGAGAAGAATCTCTACAACAGAAGATTACAATATTTCTGGTTAATTTTCATTCTTAATTGCATTTACATGTTACATGTAGGTATTGATAAGCAAATATAAAAGTTTTCAAAATAAAAATGTCATATGAATTTATACAGAACAGATTTAAGGATTGAAAGCAAATAAACATAAATTATAATTAATATACTGTACAATGTAAAATGTAGTCATTATTGAAAGAGAAATAACACCTTTACATGTACATGACTGTCTACTCAAAGAATAACAATGTAAAGGTGGGAAAAATGTAGGCATTATTGAAAGACATACTGTAAATTCCTTATTTTTCCCAAGTACTTAATCCTGGAATAGCTCTTTAACGTCAAATCGTGAGAATAATTATTCACAAATGAACGATTGATACATGGAATTTAGCACCATAAAAATAAAAGCGAGTAGTTTAACTTCACGAGCAATGCTTCTCGCAAAATTACACAATAATTAATTCCTTGCTAATAATTAGGAATCTACAGTTACTGTAATTCATTTACATGTACATCACTGTGTAGCCACAAAATTACAATATCAAATAAGGATTTTATGAAAGAAAATTAAAAACTTTATTGTAAAGCACAGGCCTTTTGTAAAACATTTCTTACTTGAGGCAGTCTGTATCAAACTCCAGGTCTGGGCTGGAGATCACACCAAGAGCAAACAACTGGAATACAACAAATTTCTTTAAAGCATAAAAATTGTACATCTACATTGAGGTGATTAATGTATTCTATAATGCTATCATCAAGTTCTGGATAATAAAAAAAGTCATCAGCTGAATCATATCAGGGACACCCTGAAGTCACTGTATGGTAATATTCGAGTTGTCTTCTGCATTTTATATTGACTATATGGACAGAGGCTCCTTAATCTCAAGAGAAATGTCTCAACTCATCTGAATCAGCTCTGCATATTAAAAATATTTTAAATCAAATGAAATGTACAATGTATCCCTTACATGCTTCCTTAGTGTCCACTCCGTATAGCAAACTGTGCTGTATTGTCTATATCTCCTCTATCTGGTAGCCCAGGGCACACTTCCCTAAAGTAAACTGTGCTGTGTTGATTCCTTTACCTGGTAGCCCAGGGCATACCTCCCTATAGCAAACTGTGCTGTGTTGATTCCCTAACCTGATAGCCCAGAGCACACCTCCCTATAGCAAACTGTGCTGTGTTCATTCCGTAACCTGGTAGCCGAGAGCACACCCCCTATAGCAAACTGTGCTGTGTTCATTCCCTAACCTGAGAGCCCAGGGCACATCTCCCCATAGCAAACTGTGCTGTGTTGATTTTCTCTCCCTTACCTGGTAGCCAAGAGCACAACCCCCTATAGCAAACTGTGCTGTTGATTTTCTCTCCCTTACCTGTTAGCCCAGAGCACACCTCCCTATAGCAAACTGTGCTGTGTTGATTTTCTCTCCCTTACCTGGTAGCCCAGAGCACATCTTCCTATAGCAAACTGTGCTGTGTTGATTCCCTTACCTGGTAGCCCAGGGCACACCTCCCTATAGCAAACTGTGCTGTGTTGGTTCTATCTAGGCAGTCTACACAGTTTGTGCGTACCACCCCCGTCTGTCTACACCCCCAGTCTGTCTTCTGTCCCTGCAGTCCTCTGAACCTACAGCAAAAACAACTGTCATTAGACTTTGTGAAAAAGTTCATTTCAATTACAACAGTTCAATCTTGATATAATACATGTACTGTCGATCACTATGTTTTCAGACTTGTGTACATGTAATTGACTGTGTTAAATTAAAGTACTGGCAAATACAAAGTGACCACACCAAGTAGTTTTTCTAAGTACTTGAGAACTTGTGCACTGAAATTTTCAGCCAGTTTTAAAATTCTTATATCTATGTATGAGGCTATTTCACGAACAGAGATTTGAAGGTAGATTTTTATTTACAGTAACTTCAGAAATACCCTCTAAACTGAAATTTTAAGTTGATTTTATTACTTTAAACCCATTTAACAGAATTTTTGAGATGAATAAATAACTATCTAACTTCCTGACAGAAAATTTAACATTTAGTTGGTAACTACACTGACTTTTTAGGCTATATCTCGCTCACCAGCTGTTTGAATTTTTAACTTACTCTGCTGTTTTCCAGAAGTCCTCACTGACCGGTCGTGGCATGTGAACAAAGAACCCCGTCATTTTGACACACTTCCTGGCAATCTGGGACAATCGCACCAAGACATTGGTTGTTTTACTGAAGAGTTGTACAAAACAAAACTACATGTATTAGTGCAGTTCTGTATAGAGTAACTTTACCTCTTTAAAAATACCAAACCGGGGCAATCAACAACTCACCTTTTACTTATGTGGGCCATATCAAACTCTATTTTTGATCTCTAACTCATCCCTTACTTATGTTTGCCAAACTCTATACATGTATATCCAACCTTTAACCCACCTTATTTACATGGGCAATTTTACACTGTTTATATCAAATCTTAAACTAACCTTTTACTTATGTGGGCCATATCAAACACTATATATCTATAACTCACCTTTTACTTATGTGGGCCATATCAAACCCTATATATCTATAGCTCACCTTTTACTTATGTGGGCCATATCAAACCCTATATATCTATAGCTCACCTTTTACTTATGTGGGCCATATCAAACCCTATATATCGGATCCTGTGTTCTGGCGGTAGGAACTGGTTTAAATAGTTGATGGTAGATTTATATTCCCCGGTCAGTATACTCTCATGTTTTCTTCTTTCCCTCCTCTGCAAGCACAAAACATCATGTGAATGAAATACTACCTAAAATTTCATGAATTCAATCAAATAATAAAAATGTTAAAAATCATTTTGTTCCAGTGTGTGTACACTTAAAATGAAAATCTACAGACACAACATTTGCATTTTTAATCCCTTACAGACTCTAGGTGTATTATTATTATTATCTTGTAATTATTAATGAATTCATGCATATGCATGCAAATACTCAGATTTGAATTTGAGCTAGAAATAAATGGCTGACATGGAACTCTGTATTAATTTCCTTTTTACACCTTCAAAAAAATAATCTATAATTGTACTGATTACCTTGACCAGGTTGAGAATGATGATTGGACAGCCATACCGACCCAGCATCTGATTAAAATGGTGGCCGGCCGCTCCAGCATAGGGGTCACTCTGATCCACTATAATACATAACAATGAAGAAAAAGCTGAACTTCTCTTTCTTGAACATCAATTATTATATGTATGTCAAATACCTTGGACATCTGTGTCAGTGGTTCTAGAAGACACTATCAATTTGAATGATTAAGTGTGTCAATTCTGAAATATCAAACTTGATCTCACTGATCTAGATATATCTCAACCTTTTGTCCTCAATCACGCAACTTCGAGATAAAGAAATTTGACTGACTGCATAACTGTACTGTAACATTAGCCTATCCAAGTGCTACTTTTGTCAACAGTGATGCATACTGAAACTTTTCAAAAAATGTAGAAGAATAAAAGATTGATCAGATATAGAAAAAAGTATACATACAAGTAATGGGTGGTTTTGGGACCATCTTTGTGACATCCTGTGACCAGTAGAGAGGGATGGAGCCCCTCATCTGTACAAAGGAGGTCACGCCCGTCTTCTCCAGAAAGGTCACCGAGCTGTCAATCACGATCTGTTCTGACTCCACCTCGTTAGCCACATAACCCTGGCAACAAGAGACCAATAATTAATTGATGAAAACATGCACATGTGTGAGAATGCTGTGTTACCCTGGTAATAGAAAGGAATTACAGATTATTAACAAAATCGGCTTTCAAAGCAGAAATTAAGACTTTCATTTCCAACAGCGTTAAAATATTAGAAGGAGATGTAATAAAAAGAGATGCATTTCTTTTCTGGCATACTGTCAGACAATCGTAGATATTTCAAACATTCAAACTCATATTCTATAAAAATTAAGCGAGATAAAATACCTTTTCACTTTTTCTTTGGGTATTTTAATTTTGATATTTTGAATCCTTGAACATGTTGAATTTGTCTATTTCTTTTTTTTTTTTTTTTTTGGCTGCAAAGATGTTATGATATTAATGAAGATTGGCTGTAGAGATCTTACATGGCATATACACATTTCTACGCGTATACTATAGCGTGAAAAACATGTATAGTGTAAACAAATATTGATAACTTTGTTATGTCCAAGTTAAGAAACAAATGTACATAAAACTAAAATTGTAAAATTAAATGTTTTAAAATTACTCAGAACTTTTTGTAATATATTTAATTTTAAAATTTTCAACTTTGAATTAGAAATAAGTTGTTTTTTTTGATTTTTGGCTGCAAAAATGTTTGCAGATATTAATTTTTAGGTCTGGGTAGGTAGGAGGGAACTTTTTTTTTTTTTTTTTTTTTTTTTTTTTTTTGAAAAAAAAAATTGTCCCAGCAAATTTTTAGAGTTTTTCATAGGTTACTATACAGATTAATAAGCTACATCTTTGTATAAACTAATGATTGATGAAGAAAAAATTGAAAATGAAACAGTTTTAATAACTGAAAAAATTAAAAAAAAATAATATTACAAAATTGCTAATATATAAAAGTTATATCGGGTGCATTTTGTAAAATGTATGCTCAACTTTGATTAAAGTTTATTTCTTCTGATTTTAGCCTATAGAGTAAATTTTGCCCTTTCAGTGGCTAGGAATTTTAAATACTTTGATCACAGAAACTAATATTTATCCATTCACCATACATTCCCTTTAATTAGCCTGTAACTTTGAAGCCTGAATATACATTTCTGATAGATATAAAATGGACACAAATTTTACTGTTCATTTCTTTATCTACCCGTGTACTTTTTATAAATCATTAATCTGTTTTAAAAGAATACTCTTTTGGTCCACAAATCCATGGATCAGGAACAGTAGCCAGTCTGGATGAACCACCTCCCGACATTTCTGTAGGAGGTAGGAATTCCAGACATATTTCTCTGCTGGTTTTGACCTCACTCCAAATACAGTCGGTGGAGGTGCTGTGACGAAAATGATTAGAAAAGATAAAAAACAAATATTTACAATTCTATTTGTTTTCTCTGTGATGACTTTTTGAAAATTAGGTGGGATGATTTCGTGATAATTACACCTGAATGTAAATTTTACCAAGTGAAAAGTCAATGCATAATGTAATGTAAATATAAGACCATATGCAAATTATCCAATGTTTCCTAATATATTTTGTATTGTTGATGCCCTGGGACACCCAACAGACTAGACACTTAATTAGTCTGAACAAACTATTCCTTAAATATATCTGTAATGTTTAGAATACATATGAACTTGTATTGGGCTTATAACCATTTTTACTTTAAGGGGTTTTGTTGAATGCTATCAAAATTGGACTTATATACATGTAATTATAAAACAATGAATTAATTTTTCAATATGACCTGAACTGCTTTATATATACCTGGCCCCTGTTGAGGTAAGTCTGGTGGTAGTGTAGATGTCATGTTGTACTGAAGTCGGTGTGTCAGATCATAACTATAACTAATTACAAAATTTATGATGTTAGACATAATTGTCAGCATTTTTTTAACTGATTGATACATTTACATACATGTACCAGAAAAAACACAAAATATGCACATATTTACATCACTAGTATTTATGATAATTTTGTTAAAACATTGTTATGCATTACATGTATAAGTAAGTAACCATGTACTTCATTAAATATTAATACCATTAACACCATAAATGAACAGAAAACTAAAGAAAAATTATAGGATTCTGCAGCTTACCTGAAGTAAAAGTTGTCTGACATGTCTACGCTTTGGAACATCTTCACATACCTGTAAAATATTGTCATATTGTAGTGTGAAATATTATATTTCAGTTGATGTGACAGATTAATTTCTAAGTTTATTCAAGTATTAAATTCTTTTCATGGAAATGGTCTGTGTTATTTTATGAACTGATGAGTATCAGTTAGATTCAGCAAAATTCCGAATACAGCAAGACTCGTTTAGTGCGAACACGGATATTGCACATTTAAGGATACAGCGAACTCATCTTGGATCCCCGGCTATATAATAAATATGACATGTGAAGTGTTCATAGAGTCACATGTATCTTGCGAGTATGGTGAGGCACACCTGTGTCAAGTGAGATGTTAAGTGTCACATTGTATCATTTCAGGTGTCAGATGAGGTAATTTACACACTCACTGGTTACACATTGAATTGTGTACTGTTTTCCTGATCAAGACACACACCAGGTGTGACTGGTTGGCAGGGGATATATTGCAAAAAATTTCTGACTTCTGTTTTTCTTTGTTTATTTAAATTTTAGGTTTAATATATAAAACAAATGTGCTTAATGTGAAGAGAGATATGAAATAAATAATAATTAACACCACTTGAGTAAAATAATTTCTTTTACAACACATGTATACAACCACTTTGAATAAATTATTCTTATTTACGGAGAAATGTTTGTTTATTTCAATGCAAAAAAAGCTCCATGTTTGCTCATGCTCCGTGATACATATCATTCGTACAGTTTCAATTGATATATCACCTTGATTACCATTTGTGCTCTCCATATTTCATGATATTCACTTACCTGCTTTCCTCATGATGAGCCTTTCTGACTGTATCATTAGGGATGTACATCATGGTAGTGTCCTCTATTTTGTACACAACATGGGGCCCAATAAGGGCTACCTTACGTCTCTTTGTTATCAAAATGATATAGTATCCCTCAAGGAACCTCACAAATCCTGTAATACAAATTAATGTACAGTTGTATAGTCTTTTTCACATAAATTTGCCATGATTTGAATTCTGTATTTCAGTACCATGATATAACAGATTTTGTTTGTTTTTTTTTTTTATTTTAATACTACTTGTAATTGTTCATTATTTAAAAAATGATGTTTGTAAGAAAATCTTGCACTATAAACATGACATCTGAGATTTCTTGACTACACTACCTGCTATCCCAAATGCAGACACTGTTTTTATGAGAGCGGAATCAGTCTTCTTACTTTCTTGTGTCAGGTTACCAGATTTAATCATTGTTAGAAGGTTTCTTACTTCCAGCTTATTGTATTCCACCTGATAAAACATAGGAAAATTGAACAAGTCGAAAATCTTTAAGTTTGACAATTGCAGTTTTCTAGAAAAACATGAAATATGAATAAATTACTACATTTTTAAATATTTGAGCTTTGACCATACTAGGGATTAATGAATTATAAATTATTTGCATGCGTTATGGTGGCTTCCGAATTTCTTTTCTTTAACTCATCAAAATCACCTTATCATCATGAATGACTAATTCTTTTGGTTCCGTTCTATCAATCTTCAAAACTCGGAATCTGCTCTCTGTGGAGTTGGAGCCAACAATGTAAAACCTCTGAAACAAAAAAAATTGCAGCATTTATCATTATGCTAAATGATACAAAAGGGAAATACATGTATGATAAATCTATGTTTAAAGGAACTTACGGTAGGAAGTTCATGAAAAGTGAACAAATTGTGAGGTTTGAACAGGTTGGGACAACTCACCCAAATGGGATAATATAATAGCCCGATTGGGGTATATTATCCTAAATAGGATATAAATTTACAGTGCAAAAAATGTTTTTTTTTATTTTGGCCATAAATATCATAAATTCTCATCAGGATACCTATAAAGGAATAACTTTTGGTTGAAAAGTATTTCTGTATGCTCATTGTTCAGGAGATGGGTGCCTCGCAAGTTCCTTAAATATTTGGGGATCAATCAAACAAACCGTAGGGTTGCAGAAAACATGGAAAAACTTGCTTGCCAAAAGTTATTCCTTTTTAAGTATATTGTTGCGGATTTATAATATCTATAACAGCTAAATTAAAATTTTCATTTTTGGCACTATGAATTTATATCCCATTTGGGATATTATATCCCAATCAGGCTGTCATATCCCATTTTGGGATCTTCACCTGTTAAAAATGTCGAATTCTGACAAGCATATTTCTGTATCTGTACGCTGAAGTAACCTATGTAGGCTTTTATACAATATTTGATATTGAATAATGTTTAGTTTCTTGTTGTGTTGTTTCATCTTCATGATCTTAGACTGTTTCATTATTTTTAAAAAAAACTACACCTATTGTTATATAAATTACAGGTAAACTTCGTTATCTCGACATTGACGGGACAGTCGGAAAATGTCGAGATATCCAAGGTGTCGAGATATCAGAGTTGAGACTCGATATCCTTAATTTTACTGCATTGAAACCATACACCTAAACTGAACAGACGTGTAACTACAGATATACCTACATGTCTTCAAATAGATTGTGGCTCGTTTGTTTCAGCTTTCCCTCTGTAATTATTAGAAATCTAAGAACTCAAGTTAATCACAAATATTATTTATAAAATGCTTTTTTTTATTGAAATCCTCTCATTTTACTAAAACCGTTTTCCATCCAGCATTCGATCCGCGTGCCACTAAAGACAGGATACAAAATATTTATAACTTGAACTCTGGACCGGTAAATTTTAAAATTATAATCATGTAAAAAAAAAAAAATAATGCGAATATTTTTGAAATTATTTCATTTCCCTCCTTTTTAATTTCATAATTATTCATCATTAATTTTCCTTTCATTTTCAAACCAAATTTAGTTGGAATTACGCAATTAACAAGCTTAATGATGTTACATATGCATCCATATTAAGGCTGATGCAATATGTCGTAGATTTGATTGATTCCTGTTGAATGCATTTTTACCACAATTTCTAAGTTGATTTGAATTTCAATGTGTATATTATTCATTGTTATTCCGTTTTTTCTTTTATAACAAGTGTTAAGTTTTTTTTACATAAAAAACAGTTTTGCAATTAAAACAAAAGATTTATCAATGACATTACCCAAGCTGAATATTAAACAACTAACGAATTAGAGACGCCGAGAGGGCTTGGGATTCCTCTACAAACACATTATGTAGTCAATACATGGGTGTGAAAGGTGTGAAATTCTGAACATGATACCAAAAATACCAAAGCACTAAAGTTAAGCACCATTGACAAAAATTATTATGTTGCAAAATATCAAGAAAATTATTATATACCAGGTAAAGTAGGGACTATGATATAATTAGTGATAGTCGATAATGCTAGGTCGACATATCAAGGTTTTGCAAATCATTTATATAGTAAATAAAAATTGTTGTCGACATTTTTTATCCGATGTCGAGATACCGAAGTTTACCTGTATTTAGATTCCTAGGGATTCATTCACAAGAATACAATATTGATCTGATCATGTGATCTGGGATGTCATTCAAATTAATTTTGAGAACATTTAAATTTCCTAACGAAAAATTGATAAATATTTATGGCCAATGTACTTACTGCTTTGGTTTCATAAAGAATAACTTTCTGAATGCATGAAATAATAGGATATTCCATGATATTTCTTCTATTTTTTGATTTTCACTCTCGGTTCTGTGTTTTGGGTGGTCGATTTTTCTGGAATAACGAACCCGACTAGAATGATTAGTATGCCTACTAATACTAATATTAGTGACTTTTTATCGATATTTGGCGAGTTTCATTAAAGAAATAAAAGGAAAATATGTATAATTGAACTCTTTACTAAATTTTAAAACTATAATCATGTAAAAAAAAAATGCTTGCCATTCAGATTACCTCCCCCCTAAAAATACAAGACATTTATAAAAAGTGGAATTTTTAAAATTGCTTACATACATACTTTAGATTGAATTTCTTTAAAAAACATTGTTAATTGAAAGTTTTTTTCGGTTATTAATCATGATTTTTCCCTAGCTGCCCGTGTCTTAAATCAAGAAGTTTTTTTTAAATTAAAAAACAAATTAAATTAAAACAAAATACTGGTTTGGCACGGAAGGAAAAATCTATTTTTGAATAAATGCTATAGCCTATATTATGTATATCTATACGTCCGTTCTTTTCATCTAATTTGATATTTTCATCAATATTTTCACCAGTTCACTCAAATAAAACATGCAGTAATTTACGAAACGTAAATAAATACTTTTTAAAAATAATATATATATATTTCATGTAGTAAAAATATATAAAATGTGTAAAATTGTAGCTTTTGTTGTACAATTTACCCTGATAAACATTAGTTTTGGTTGTCAAGCAGATGGGTAGGTTAAAGTAATTGATTTAATTAAATTGAATCTTAACTGTACTGCTTTTGTGTTATTACTAGTACATGTATATTCTTTTTGATGTGTTGGTACAATGAAGCGCATTGAAGTGGTAAAATTTGATATTTTCATCAATATTTTCACCAATTCACTCAAATAAAACATGCAGTAATTTACGAAACGTAAATAAATACTTTTTAAAAATAACAATATAGATGTATTTCATGTAATAAAAACAAAGTCAGTAAAGAATATATGCTTTGTACAGTCAGTGCATATATTCTGATACATGTGCTATGCTTTTGCAATAAACATGATAATATTATATAATATTGTACAACGTGCTTTACAAATATACGTGAACTCTATAATAGCTCTTTCATATTCAAAAATTTTAAAATTGTATACATGACTTATACAATTTACCCTGATAAACATTAGTTTTGGTTGTCAAGCAGATGGGTAGATTAAAGTTATTGATTTAAATTGAATCTTATCTGTACTGCTTGTGTGTTATTACTAGTACATGTATATTCTTTTTCGATGTGTTGGTATCATTTCCTATCTCCTCTCTACACTGTACATGCTGTATGTTTATACAATTTTGTGGGAATAAAATTATTTTCATTGGTTCTGTCTTACCGATGTATATAAAAATGTTTTACACCAATAATTTATATCCTCTTTCACAATGAGTTGTCTTAGATCTGACATTGTAAATTATGCATCTCACATTCATAAAACATGCATTTTACCAATTAACACGCTCTTCCCTATATGCAGTACACATGTATTGAAATACAGGTACGTCGCTAAAGGTGTTTCTCATTTACTCAATTTCACCTGTTTGCACCTGACAAACAGATGTTTCCGATTCTTTCAAATCTGTAAGGCACAGGTACAATGGATTCCCATGGGTTAGTCAGCACCCCGTATCAATTATCCATACAAAGTCGTTTAGCGCGTTTTCACGTTTGCTCTTTTAATTAAATCAGAGTATAGTTCTCATACATATTTAAACATGTCTTATGTATAAATAATTCAGACATTTAGTAGCCTTCCTGGGAAAATTAAATCTTAACCAACTTTCCATTGTGTTCTTACATATGTACATGTATGTTTACAAACAGATACGGCTATGGATAGTTGCTCTTTCATTACTGAGCTGGAAACATGGCACAGGTAAGCCGAGTATACAAAATTTAAATTCCTAAATTTTTTACTCATTTTTTAATCAAAAAAGTTAATTTCATGATTATTGAAGAAATGGGTTTCCTAAATATTTAGCAAATCATGTACATCTGTATTAATGCTAAACTAAATTATTACATACTGGATCTTTAAAACATCTTTTTGAAAGATGTCAGCTTGGAGGGGGGGGGTAAACTTGGGGAAAAATATGCGATTTTTAAAAATATTTAAACATATTGTAAAAAATAATAATACCAATAAAAATTGAAAAGTCACGAAATTTTAAGCTAACTTTTGTTATTAATGAATGCGTATAAGATCAATATCTTTTATATATTCTGTATTTATCAGTGATCTACTTATCAGTATACTATTTATTATATATTATACTTTCATGTAAATTACTTGAATCTGATTCGTCGAGAAACATTTGATAAAAAACACTACTACCCGCTGAATAATGAAGCCACGCCCTCCTGCGTAGCAACAGTCAACATTGCTTGACGACGGGTGGTATTACAAAAAATAGCGACTGCGCGGAATTTATGCGCGCACGGTTCACTGTAATACTTCGAAAACCATTGTCAACCTCGGCTGCGCCTCGGTTGACAATGGTTTTCTTGGGGTGAAAATTTTCAATGTTTCACTCAACTACATGCAATATTTATATAATATCATAGTATTACACAATTATTAGAAAAAAAGAAATCAGTTTAAATGTCGTGACCATGTCATCTAACTAGAATCAAATTTAACTCTATGCTAAATTAATGCAGTTAATGTTGTTAATTTTCTCTTGGAAAATTATAGTTCCAAATGATTTTGAGAACGGTTTTGAGTTAGAATCGTGTTAACTTTATTTTCTCAAGATATATCGCATTTTCATGTTAAACGTACAGGAAACTGAAGTAAAAAAAATTATTGCATTCATTTTGCAAAAAGTTAAATTTGATTTTAAATAGATTACATGTATTCCAAGTATATTCTTTGTCTAGCTGCAATAATGTAGCCTTCTCCTCCCTTGTTTTGATGGTGGGGGTCCGAGGAGCCCTCTCCATAAAACGTCAGATTAAACGAAGTCGGAAAAGGCTACATTATTAGTCAGCCCCCGGGCTGACTAGTTACGTTAGGATGAAACTGCAAGTGCGCTTGCGTTAATCGGAATTCTGGGAAAAAGATTTAAATTTTTTAATACACGCACACACACCTCGATCTATTTATAGACTGCATGTTTGAAAATTTATGACATAGACTATTCTTCTAGATGGGATATTTGTCAGTTTTTAAATGATACTATGAAAATATTTCTTTGCTTCTAATAGATGTATATTTATTCCCTCAATCGCCATTGCAAGCCGAAGATTTAAATTGTGTATTCCTCTGGATGCCTGATGCAAGACTCCCTCGATCAGTATTCAATACCTTGCATAAGACATGTACGGGTCGGAATTCACACAAAATCCACTTGCCACAAATTAAGGTCCCAAAATAGTGAAGAAAAAAAAGATCAATTTCTCTTCACTCTAATGATGGAAGTTATGAAAACATCAGCTAGAAGACCACTGTAAGACAGAAAATTCTTATAATTTACATGATGATAGACGTGTAACGTGAACCGCGCCCACATGTGAGACCACAGTGGAAATGCGATCGCTTAGAGAACTGTGCTGATTTATAGACTGGGTCAACACCCCCCCCCCCCCAATGAAAGGAGAGAAAATCTATAGATTTGCTATGATGGTAGACATCATCAAAGACATTTTATGTATATTATGTATACGTACTGCATGTGTAAACATTTTTTGAATTGTTTTCTGTGGCGTTCATTACTTTTTTGGAAGCAATTCTTTTCTTTCCTAATAACACTAAAATGGATGCTCAAACTTAGAAATTAAATTAAATATAGATGCAGTATGCCCCCCCCCTCCACATGCATTGCCTCGAAATGCACACAAATGAAAACTGTTATTTAATAATATTTAAAAACGATCTAACACAAAGTCTACCTTCCTTTTATTCATCATAATCTGCATATCATTTTTATAGAATTTAACGTGATCTTAGTTGCCATGTTGGCTTTTGTTCATTTACCGGTATAAGATGAACTTTCTCTGATGTCTGCTCCCAAGAGAATTTATTGGAGATCATTGTAATGGTCACGATGCAGAATTAAAAAAATTATTCTATGCTTTTTTATTTATTATGTATGTGGCATTATGTTACAAATAAGAAAACGATTACAGTCTAATTTAACTTTTCTTACAATGGCATTTATTACATTTAAGGAACACAGCACGATGAATAGATCAAATCATAAACCATTACAAAACAAGAAAGAAACTTTCTGTATTCCAGTGGCTGACACTCAGCTTTTTTAAAAAAGCTAACCTTGTTGCACCTAGTTCTATGTCGTCTAAAGGAAAAGCACACTTTACGACACATATTCGTTTTGAAAACAGTACCAAGAATTAATTTGGCAAATTTTGAACGAACAATTTCTAAATTCTTTCATACAAACAATTGCTGTTGACTGTTTTATTTTTCTTTATTTTATTCTAATTTCATAGGAGGGTAAGTCGGGGCGGCCTATATCCAAGATAAGTAGTGAAGATGGCAGCGAGTCGTTCTTCAAGACCGCAATGCGCATCGAACTCGAAACTGCCGAGGGTATCAGGAAAAGGATATCTACCGATACCCCCGTCAAAAGAGCTGCAATACCGGAAGAGGCAACGGAAAATGACGTCGACTTCAAAATGCCAGTCGTGTCAACGAAAACTTATCAATTAAACAAAGGAATTCCTTCGCTTCATGTCAGAAGTCCATCGCCTAGGGCAGTTTCTCCGGATAGACTCAGGTCGCCATTCTTCCAAAGAACTAGGATAAATAAAGACCTTGAGAAGCCTGATTCTGTTTTGGACTTTACTAAAGCGTTGACCATGAATAAAATAGCCAAGACCCTGGTATCAAATCAGAAAACAAGGTTACAGCGATTAGAGGAATCGGGAAATGTTACAATAAATTCACCACTCAAAAAATTTAATCCCAACCTTGTCAAAGATCATCTGTACAAGATACTGAAAAACAACCTTAAAAACATAAGTTACGATCCAAAATTATGCCTTCTATTGTCAAAGTCACTCAGCGAGGAAACTCGAGACGCAGTCAAAGCGTTAAAGTTTCCTAGATACAAATTTGTTTCCGTAGTAACCATTGGACAATTGCAAAGTTCTACTATATCAATATGCAGCAGATCTTTATGGGATTGCAATACGGATAATTATGCCTGTGCTGAATACAGAAATGAGACGATCTATGCAGTTGCTACGATCTACGCAACTTTTCTAGACTGAGAAGTTGACAAAATCTTTTTTAAATAATCCTGGTCACGGCGCCAATTAGCATTTTCAATGTGTCGACAACAGAAGCAAATGATTGTAGTGAACATTTCTATAGATGGTTAATTAGACTTTGTAACTTCAATTCAGTTTATATAATAAATATTTTTCAAGACTAGATTTATTAGTGAATTATTTGCACTTCTCCTTTTTTACTACAGTTATAAAGCAAACATTCATAAACAACATTTATTGAAACGGTAACAATTAATGGAAAAAAAAATTAATGGAAAAAAAAAACAAATATTAAATATTTCTGCACATCTCAGAATGATTAAAATGAAGAAATACTGGTATCATTGTAACAAACACTGACTGGCGTTTTAAGTGTTTTTGATTGTAAATTGTGATATCTAAATTTCTCAAAAATCATATGATAGTCATGCTTTCTGCTGAATGTTTCTTTGTATTTTGTACAAATCATATGATTACATATAAATTGTCTTCAATTACAGAATAATCATGATAATATAGACATAATTTAGAATTTAAAAAAATATATTAAGCTCCTAAATCATTAGCCACTGAATTTTGCCCCTGCTAAATACAATGTACAAACAATCTTTATATCCGTTTCGTTTTCGTTCATTTGTAATAATTTATGGCAATAATTTTCCCTCAATACTCTGTAATATGAATGCTATTACATTGTATATTTCATTTCCCCATAAGTATGGATACCTTCTTGTCCCCAGTATAAGAATTCATGTATCTTAGAATTAATTAGAAGTGTCACGCATAATGTTCAGATTGAATCCACATAATTATGTAATTTTAAAACAAGAGGCCCACGGGCCTTATAGGTCACCTGAGTATCATGTAACAACTTTCCAGTGATTGTATTTGGTTCATGTTTTAATCCAAAGTCATGAAATTCACAAATTTTGAAGGAGGCACCATTGCTTATCAAAGGGCAGATTTCAAAGCATTAATTTATTTTAGTCAAAGTACCCCCCTGGTACCCCTGACCCAGCGGCCCTGAAATTATCTATTTTGAAAGAGGCCCCTTTCTTCATTATAAGGCCAGCAGTTTTTATGTTTAAGTTTAGTTATGAAATGAGAATATAAAAAAGTCCCGAAGGAGAAGGAAATAAAAAAAAATTTTGATAAATCAATTATTAACATTTGTACATTCTTTTTTTAAGCTATTCTAATAGGCTCCTTACCACTGGACACTTAATGCTTACAAATAGGAAAGTAGAACATTTAATTGCTTATTTCATCATCTGCCAGTTTGGGCCAGTTATATTTAAATTTTGTGATGTTGGTCAAAATATATTTTAAAAAATCAATTCTTTAAAAGTCTTTCAATATATCTTCATTTTTTGAATATGTGTTAGGTAAATGTATAGACATTACTTGTTGCCTAAAATTATAATATTCCTATCATAAAACAGACAGGGAGTATTGGGGAGTAGGATGAACATTTTTTCAATTAAGTTAAGTGTAAAATAATTTTTCTGGCTTATACAAATGATACTACATGCCTGTATATATTTGTATATTCTTGCCTTTTAATAGTTGAACTTTTTTTTTATTTCTTCAGGTTATTGTTTATTTCTTCCTCAAATGGACTTAACTTCTCCCATTGTTTTATTCATTACATCTGATGCATAAGCAACCCTTTTCTGAAGAATGATGCTTAGCTATAACAGAGACCTAAACAATGTCGCTGGCAATATGCAATAGCTACCACAGGCAGTTTAAAACCTGGGAGACGAAAATAATACTATAATTATCTCACCAGCATGTCATTGTGCAACAAAGTCGTCAGCATTCTATTTGTCCTTTGAACGGGCGAAACGTTTTGAATGGCACTCGTATCGATGAATTAGTTATCTTCTCAGATCTAGCTTTATTTACCCGCCGTTTCATCTTAAAACCGGAAGTGCGAGTTCGTAAATTTGAAATTTCGATCCCGACTCAAATTTGACATCGGAAAGAAAAATTTTTTATTTTTTTCTGAAAATTCAAAACCTTGAGCGGAGGGTTTGTAAAACTGAAAATAAAATAAATTCTGCCCTTAGATATGTAATTAGATCATTAGTATATTAACCAGGAGCAAAGGATAAGATGTTCAAAGAATACATGCATTTCACTATATAATCATTAGAGCCCCACCCTAAAACAAGAACCCCTGCCCCTGGCGCCATAAAATACATAATTTTGGCAGAGGCACTCTTGCTTATCATAACTATGTACTTAGTTAGTTTATTTAATCCCCAGGAGCAGAGAAGAAGATTTTCAAAGAATTCATGTATTTTCACTATATAATCAATAGAGCCCCGCCCTTACACCAGAACCCCTGACCCTGGGGCCATAAAATTCACAATTTTGGTAGAGGCACTCTTGCTCATCATAACTATGTACTTAGTTGGTTTATTCAATACCCAGGAGCAGAGAAGAAGATTTTCAAAGAAATAATGCATTTTCACTATATACTTATTTAGCTTATTTAGCCCCGCCCTAGCACTAGAACCCCTGACCCCAGGGCCATGAATTTCACAATTTTGGTAGAGGACTCATTGCTGATTACAATCATGCAAACAGTTTGACTGCTTGATGTCCAGGAGTGAAGAAGAAGATTTTTAAAGATTGCATTAATTTTAGTGGTTTTGGCCCCACCCCTCAGGCCCTAGGGGGGCAGGGATCATGAAATTCAAAATTTTTGTTCCCCTTCACCCATAGATGCTTTGTGCCAAATTTGGTTGAAATTGGTTCAGTGGTTGCAGAGAAGAAGCTGAAAATGTTCAAATGTTAACGCACGACGGACGACGGACGACGGACGAAAACAGATAGCAATAGGTCACCTGAGTTTACTCAGGTGACCTAAAAATGCATGATGAAATATTTGACACCAATAAGAATTACTTTAAAAAGAAAACGACATAAATCTATTATGCACCAATGTTTTTTCTACAGAGAGTCATAGCTAAATGTATCATTCGTTTTCCCACCTGCAACTTGCACCCTTTCTGTGTGTAACAATCAAATAACAATATACAACACGTGTATCAGAATCAAATCAAAGATCAAATACATGCTCATTAGAAACTGTTTAAAATATGTTAAAAATTTTGGAAACAAATTTAAAGCTTAAGGTACTCAAAGTTAAAAAAGAAAAAAATATATAATAAAACAACTGCATGGTACTAGACCTCGCTAGACTGAACATCAGACATATCCAGATCTATACCTCTGTTTTTCATATAATCTCTAAATGATAACATGGACACTTCCTCCTCTTCTAGCCTATGAATACCAAACCCCGTCATATCCTCTACGGACACAGAGGAGCCCGAGGACAGGGTATTCGACACAACACTCGGCCTTTGCCGTAGGTGCTGTTCGGTAATGACGTCATGGTTTGCGCAATTGCAGTGACCGTCTTCCTTCAAAGGATAAACAATGTTTTTAGTCATTTGATTTTGCATTAATGGTATGGGATAACGACCTTTGTCTAATGATTTTTCCTCCACAACAACAGGGTGAATTTGTTGTCGTCTTCTGTAAAGGTCACTATCGTCAATTTTTAAGGTGGGAGGGGACATACTTTGTGACACGGAGTTTTGATTTTGTATAGGAGCATCATCAATCTGAATAAGATGTCCATTTTCCAATACTTTTCTTGGAATTTCGTCACTGATATTAATATGTGAATATAGGGGATCTCTCGAGTTTCTTACATTAGATTGAACACGAGAGCTATCCATTCGAGTGACGTGTAATGGCTCACGTTCATCCAGTGAATGCAAGGGCTGAGATTTAAACGGAATGACTGAAGGTATGGCGTTTTCATGAACATGAATATTTGATAAATTATTTAATGGAAAACTGTGATCCTCTCCTTTAGTTTCCTCTTCCAAGGCGGAATCATATCCGCCTAATAAAGGACTACGATCGGAATGCCTCGGGGAAAGCCGATACATTCCCTTGTTTTCTGTTGAATCAGATACGGGTAGAGATAAGAAAATTTCATCACTGTTAATTGAACCATCCGATTCATGACAATTTTTGTCCGGTTTTCGTCTTCTGACGGATGACTTTGCGACAATCTGTTCCAACCACTCGGCATCCGTCTGACATTCGGAATCTTGTTTCGTTTTCTTCTTTCGCTTTTCACTTCCACTTCGCGATTCCTCTTTTGAACTTATTGTCGATAATCGATCATCTTCATCGCCTGAATTGGAATTCGAGTGATCTTTCTTGCTCCATGGAAACTTCTGGTGATTTGGTATACGGATGTGCATGGAATTCTCGCGGTTCAGTTTAATATTGGGTGGGAGGGAGGCGGTCTCTTTTCTATTGTTGGCCGTCTGTTTATGGTTTAGTTTTAATCTACCGAATGAAAACTTTTTACGATGTAGCAACCCACTTCCTTTTTCAAAAGGCATCCTTTCTCTAGAATTAAAAAGATGACATTGAATACTACAAAAATGCATGTTTAGAATGACAGGTTAACGATTATATAGAATGGGTAACACTTTTTGTATTGTTTAAGATATCAAGATCAATTTTTAAATTACTTCCTCCTTTATTTATATATTTTTCTTTTTAAAATTGTTTGGTTTTAATAAGCATTTCTAGACTTATTTGATGTAGGACCCTCAAAAATTTATATCTGACCCATATCACGTAAAAATGATAGCACTCTATACATCGTGTAAATTTTCATCAATACATCGTAACATTTCTTTCCTTTACTTGGAAGTTTCTCAAGTTTTGTCAATTCCACTTGACGTCAACAGAAGCAATATACATGTTTTTGGTCTTATCATTGTTAACAACCCCATGTATTGCAGGCTATGAAAACTTCGATTATCCTATATATTGTTATTCAACATTAGAGGCTAACGTTCTAACGTCATGGCATATATCATTCTGTACAGATACTGGCCATAAACATATAGTCTCCAGACACCTTGATTTCCTCTCAGGGATTCTTAACTATTGGTTTTCTCTTTGTTTACGACCCGATGTTCTAAATTTAGGCTTATCTTTGAATTTATTTACGGAAATTAATGAAAAAGTACTCTTGGTTGCTAAGGAAGAACCTAAATTTGGCAATGCTCATTACAGGCCATTCAATATTTATCTGTATAAGTTTACTGTCTAAGAAATCGAATCTTTCAACTTACTTCCCAAAATCGTTTCCGCTTTCGGAATGATAGGAAACTGACCCAATATGGCAGCGAACTTCTTTGGAAGTAGCAAACGCACTTCTCGTGTTC